CGGGAGAATAAAAAAGTATTAAGAAAGTCTAAAGGACTTATGGGACATCATCAAGCACACCACATTTGTATTTAAAGAGTTTCAGAAGACAGAGGGAGGAGCCAGAAGTTCATTTAAAGGAACAGTACCCAAAACCCCTCAAAATCCTGGGGAGAATAATGGATGTCCACACTAAAAAAGCACAAATGCCTCCATTGGACAAACCCAAAGAAATCTATATCAAGACACAATGTAATCAGATTGTCAAAAGTCATAGGCATGCGTACCACCATGATGGTGCTGAAAGCTAAGAAGGAAGCTCTGCCCCTCCCAAAGCTGAAGCTAAAACAAAAGCTTTGAAGGCTGAGAAGGCAGTGTTGAAGGGTGTCCATAGCCATAAAAAGAAGAAGATCCACAAGTCACCTACCTTCCGGCAACCCAAGACAATATGGCTCCGGAGGCAGCCAAAATATCCTCCGAAGAGCGCCCTCAGAAGAAACAAGCTTAACCACTATGCCATCATCAAGTTCCCCTTGACCACAGAGCCAGCCATGAAGAAGATAGAAGACAACAACACACTGTATTCACTGTGGATGTCAAGACCAACAAACACCAGATCAAACAAGCTATAAAGAAGCACTGACATTGATCTGGCCAAGGTTAACACCCTGATCAGGCCTGATGGAGAGAAGAAGGCATATGTTTGACTGGCTCCTAATTATGATGCTTTGGACGTTGCCAAAAAATTGGGATCATCTAAACAGAGTCCAGCTGTCTAATTCTAAATATACTCTTTTTTTTTTCAACACTAAAAAAAAAAAAAAAAAACTCAAAAGGCAAAGTCAGAATTTTGAAAGAAGCAAGAGAAGAGTATATCACCATATACATATATATGGGAACCTCCACAGAACTATCAGAGATTTCTCGGCAAAACCCTGCAGGCCGGAATGAAGTGGGATAATATATTCAAAGTGCCAACCAAAAACCAACTATTCTTGGGATAATATCCCAACTATCCTTGGGATAACAGCCCTTCAAAAATGAAGGAGAGACAAAGACTTTCCAACAAATGAAAGCTGAGGGAGAATATCACCACTWCGCTTGCCATACAGAAATGTTAAAGGGCATTTTTCTAGTTGAAATGAAATGACACAAAATAGAAATACAAAAGTGTATGAAAGWTGCTGGACTACAGGGTACATGCCTGTGATCCCAGCAACTCAGGAGGCTGAGACAAAAGAATCATAGGTTCAAGGCCCACCTGGGCAATTTAGTGAGATCCTGTCTCAAAAATAAAAAAATAAAAAAGGTCTCAGAATAAAAGCTCAGTAGTAAAGTGCCCCTCAGTTCAATCCTCAGTACCATAAAAAGGAAAACTATATACATATATATGAAAGTAGAAAACTCACCAAAGGTAAATATATAAAAATATAGAAGACTATAATACTGTAATGAATAGTATGTAAACACCTTTAATTCTAGTGTAAAAGTTAAAGAATACAAGTATTAAGAGTACTATAATTATAAAAATATATTAATAGAATCCTACTAAATTGAAACATCAGTGGGGGGAAAAGTGTACAGTCTTTGTATGTGATTAAAGCTACCATCTTATATACATTGCTACAGTGATGTTCTATGTAAGACCTATAGTAGCCAGAAATAAAATACCTATCAAGAATACACAAAAGGAAAAAAAAGAMTAATAGCACATATCCAATTATAAAGGAAGAGAGCAAGAAAGGAAAAAAGAAAAAGAATTACAAAATGGAAAATAATGAAATGACAATAGTAAGTCCTTCTCTTAATAATTAATTAAACATAAATGTATCAAACTTCCCAATAAAAAGACTAAAGTAGCTAAATGGACTAAAAAAAAAAAAAAACAAAAAAAAAAAAAACCAAATATATGCAGCGAACAAGAAACTCACTTTAGATTTAAGAACACAAATAATCAGAAAATAGACCGGGAAAAATATATTCCATGCAACAATAGACAAAAAGAGCAGGGGTAGCCATATTTGTATCAGACAAAATAGATTTTCAGTTAAAACCTCTCATAATAGACTAAGAAGGTTATCATATAATGATAAAAGGGTTAGTTCATCATGAAAATACACCAATTATAAAATATAAGGATTCAACATCAGAGCACCCACCTATAAAGCAAAAACTGACAGATCTGAAAGGAGTAATAGACTGCAGCATAATAACCTTACTTTGAATAACGGACAGAACATCCAGAAAGAAAAGCAATAAGGACATAAAGAACTTGAACAATGCTATAGATTAAATGAGGATAACAAATACATATAGAACATATAGCACCAGAATACATTTTCTCAAGTGCACACAGAACATTCTTAAGGACAGTTCAAGTGTTATATCACAAAAAAAAAGTCTTAAGAAATTTATGAAAACTGAAATCATATCAGGTTCTCCTTTTAAACCACAATGGGATAAAAATCATAAACTGATAACAGAAAGAAATTCACAAATATGTGAAAATCATACAATACACTCTTGAACAATTAACTAGTGGGTCAAAGAAGAAATCAAAAGGAAAATCAGAAAATATTTCAACAAAAACATGAACACAAAAAATTATGGGATGCAGAAAAAGTACTTTAAAAAAGGAAGCAATAAATGCCTACTAAAGAAAAGAAAGATCTCAAACAATTTGAATTTATACCTCAAAAAGCTTTAAAAAAAAAAAGAACAAACTAAGTTTACATTTAGCAGAATTAAGATTATAATAGAAATAAAGGAAATAAAGAATAGAAAAAAAGTGGCAAACCTAAGACTTGGTTTCTTGAAGAGGTTAACAAAATTGACAAACCCCTAAGGAGACTAGCAGGAGAAAAGAAAAGAGGATTCAAATGAATAAAATCAGTTTTGAACAAAGAGATATTATAACTAATGTCACAGAAATAATTAGATCATAAAAGATTACTATGAAAAATTACATGATAAAAATTGGATAATCAAGAAGAAATAGATGAATTCCTAGAAATATATAAAAAGTCTAAACAGGCCAATAAGGAATAAGAAGACTGAATTAGTAATCAAAACCTCAACAGGACTGGGGTGTAGTTCAGTGGCAGAGCACTTGCCTACCATGAGTGAGGCCCTAGGTTTAATTCTTAGCACCACAAAAAGAAAACAATGAAAAAGCCAGGACTAGAATGGCTTCACTGATGAATACTACCAAATATTGAGAGAAGAATTAATACCAGTCCTTCTTAAATTCATCCAAACATTTGAAGAAGGAGGAACATTTCTAAATTCATGAGATCAGCATTACCCTCACACCAAGGCCAGACAAACAGCTCTACAAAAAAAATCACAGGTCAATATCTTTGATGAACATAAATGCAAAAGTCCTCAACAAAATACCAGCCAACCAAATTCAACAGCACATTACAAGTTCGTATACTACAAGCAAGATTTATCTAGGTATGCAAGGTTGGTTCAACATACATAGTCAATTAATGTGATACACCAAATTAACAGCGTGAAGGATAAATATCATACACTCATCTTAATAAAGAAAAGAGTTTGAAAAAAAAATGAACAGTCTTTTGTGATAAAAGATCTCAGCAAATTAAGCATGGAAGGAATATATCTCAACATAATAAAGGTCATATATGAAAAGCCCATAGCTAACATCATATTCAATGGTGAAAAACTAAAATCTTCTCCTTAAGAGCAGAAACAGGACAAGAATGCTACTTGGAGCAATTAGGTAAAATAAATAAATAGGAAAAAAAAGAAAAGAAGAAAGCATTCACCTAAGAAAAGAAGTATTTGCTTTATTCCCATACAATGAACTATCCAAAAAAAAAAAAAAAAAAATATATATATATATATATATATGTATGTGTGTGTGTGTATGTATATATACATATAAATCAATTCCATTTATAATAGCATAAAAAAAGAATAAAATATTTAGGAATAAGACTAACCAGGCAAGTAAAAGACTTATGCACTAAAAACTACAAAACTTTGATGAATTAAAGACAACATAAATAAATAGAAAGACATCTCATGTTCATGGATTGTAAGACAATATTTTTAAAATGTCCATACTATTTCAACATGATCTACAGATACAATGCAATCTCCATCAAAACTCCAACAGCACTTTTTACAGAAGGAGAAAAATATAACCTTAAAATTCATATGGGAGTCACAAAATTGCCAAAGCAATTTTGGTAAAGAAAAACTAAGCTGGAACTGTAACATTTTTTGGATTCAAAATATATTAAAAATCTACATTAATTTAAAAAAACAGTGTGATGCTGGCATAAAAACAGACAAGGGTGACTAGAATGAACAATGGAAAAAGCATAGTCTCTTCAATAAAAGTGTTGGGAAAACCGATATCCACATTCAAAATAATAAAATTAGACCTTTATCTTACACTATTCACAAGAGTTGACTCAAAATGGATTAATAGTTTATAACCTAAAATCTGAAACTCTAAAACTTGTAGGAGGAAACATGACAGGAAAAGCTTTATGACACTGGTATAGGCAATGATGCTCTGGCTATGATACCAAAAGTACAAACAACAAAAGCAAAAACAGACAAGGAAGTCTTCTGCATAGCAAAAGAAACAATCAACAGAATCAAAAGGCAATCTATAGAGGGAGAAAATATATCTGATAGGGGGTTAATAATAATAATTAAAAATTCCCAATTTCTCAATCAAGCTTTAAAAAAATGAACTATGAATTTAGGAGCTGAAGGGATAAACAGAGAGTTCAAAATGAAAACTCCAATATTGAATGAACAAATATAAAGAACCAAGAAAYAAGCAAAACAAAGAACAACAAAAATAAAACAAAATTCTGTTTAACTTCATAATTGAGTAAGAAACACTAGGTTTTATCTCTTGACATGGATGATGGCTGTAGATATGTTCCCTTGTGGTAACTGATTAAACATTTGGTTGGCAATCTTTTCTGTAAGTATGCAATATGACAAAAAAGAGATAAAAAGAAAAAAGTACATACTCTCTGTCCTGGGAATCACAGAAATGATTGAGAGAAGAATATACATGAAGAATAGGGACAATGCTCCTCAAGCTTAAGAATGAAGGATCCTCTATTATTTTCTTCATAAACAAGTCCATCAAACCAACATGTCGAAATCCAAAGTTTTCAAATAAAAGGAGGAGAAAAAGAACCTTAAAAAGAATTGAGGAGAAACTCATTAATTAATAGGCACATTATGCTACTAGTAATTTTTTAATCTCAAAAAAAAAAAAAAACAGAAATGTGCTGTCACACAGAATACTCCCTAAAAAGGAAAAATTATCTTTTCCTCATAAAATCTGTTTCATTAGTTGTTGAATGAGATATCAAGTTAATAAGCAATCTCTTTTTATAAGTTGAGAATTAGGGCATACAATGATTTCTTTACTTCTTATTCCATTTAAAAATAAATTCTTTCCAACATGTATTTCATACTACTGATCTGAAAATTACTTTTAAATACACCATTTCTAGAGCTTTTCAAAATGACCAACTCAATCTTGAACTGCTCCCACTTCCAAACCTAAATATTTCCTAGTTTCTAATACATGTGATAACTAAAAAATTTCTAAATTTAATAGTAATTTCTAAAAGAATGGAGCAATATTATTAAAATAAAATTTCCAGTTTGCCTCCAATTTCTTTTTTGGTCTTTATCACAATAATTACTTCCCTTTCTGAAATCAATTTCATAGTAAATTCCATATTCATCTTACTCTCCAAAGTAAATTGAACCTTGTGGTCCACCATAGTTACCACCTACTTCACTGGAAAAAGGAATTTCTGCTAGTTTGATTTATTTAGATATGTATGTTATTAAACACCACTCTTAAATTGAAACTTTTACTCAGAAAGAAACAATGGACATGATCACTAAGTAATAATATTTTATTCTTCAAAAACTACATACCTGTCATAGTACCCATCTCTATGTTTCAAAATCTAACAAGGAAGATGTATAAACAATGCCAAGTATCTAAAGTACCATACAACCTTTTGAAAACCAAATAGAAGAGAAAACTTTGGACTTTTAGATTTTTGTTTCACATAGAAATATGATTAAAAGATTGAACAGGAGGGGTAGAGTTGAAGCTAAGTGGTGGAGCACTTGCCTTGCACATATGAGTCACTAGGTTTTCTCCTCAGCACAACACAAAAATAAAGAAATAAAATAAAGGTGCTGTGTACATCTACAATTAAAAGATAAAATATAAAAAAAAGATTCAACAGGAGCAGCTCAGGAGGCTGAGGTAGGAGGATCCTGAGTTCAAAGCCAACCAGCCTCAGCAACTTAGCAAGGACCTAAACAATTTAGTGAGACCCAGTCTCCAAATTTAAAAAATTATAAAAAGAGCTAGGGATGTAGAAAAGTACCCCTGGATTCAATCCCTGGTACCAAAAAAAAAAAAAAAAAAAAAGATTGAACAGTATATTAACAAATAACTGCTAGACAGAAATAATAAAGAGCTTATTTTTCAAAAGTCTATTTAGCACTGAAATATTTTGATAACTTAAATGGTACAAAGCAGAAAGAGAAATACTTAAAATGCTAAATAAACTAATATTCTTCTCAAAATTTTCTGAAGTTTATTCTCAACTGATAATATACTCACTTGTTTTAATTTCCAGATTTCAAAAGTTGTAGCCACATAATCTGCTATTCCCTTGAAGAGATCTAAATTCTGGTATCGGAGGTCTTTGCAGGACTGCAATATGCTGATCAATATTTTAAAAGGACATCCATGGATATTATCTTTAAGAATGAGTTAAATAAACAACCAAAATTACCAGTTTGGGATATAAGATTCACAATGCTCAATACTTTTGTTTCTTTAGGAAAAAAACAGCAATGTATTTTGTCAAAAAACAACACTACAACAAAAATAAAGTTTAGATATAACCATATCATCATATTTTCTTCATACCAACATAAAGTTTTAAAAACATAACACATACAATTTAAAACAGTAGGTAAAATGCTACAAATCATAAAAAAAAAAAAATTCCTCTTACCTATGACCATCTTACTGCATTCATTCAGGAGTATAACAGAACGGTGATTCATAGCAGCTAATACCTCAAACATGCGTTGGCTATTCAAAACAGAAAATCTGTCTAATTCTTTCAAGGCTTTCATCTAAAAAAATAATAAATTCATATTTAATTTATCATTTGTAGAAAAATAAACTTTTATTTTTAAATAAAAAGGATGAAGTTTAGAAAAAATAACTCAAATAGACAAGTAAATATGTTAATTCACTTTAGCAAAGCCAAACTCAAACCCACAGCCATGTCTTCCTAAAAAAYTGACTTTAGGAAGTGATAGCAGATCATAAGACTTTTCTCAAATCTTACCCTTCTAGAGAAAATTCAGCTATTTACCTCCAATTTCCTTTTAAGAGCAACTGGTGTATCCTTTCCAATATATTTCATCACAGTTTGTAAAGTAAAGACACGTTCTATTTTCCAAACCTGCTGATCAACTAGTATCCTATAATTAAACACAATAAAAGTTATAATCCTAGAATCTTCAAACCAGAACAGAAATCTTAAAATTTCATTTGGTCGAGCTCTCCCTTCCCACAAGCAAGAAACATGAAGCCCATAGACATGAACCTGTCTATGAGAGTGTAAGTAGTTAGTAAAAGATCTAGAACCAGTCTAGACCCACTTCCTCTCACATTATTACACTCTTTATTAACGAGCAAATCACATCAGAAGATTATACTGGGATATYCTAGGAATAGCCAACAAAGATATAAAATTAACTATTATACTCAATAATCTATGCCATTAGATCAGTTGCATCRATTTTATAAATCCCCTTTCAAGCTGAGTCAATGTCATGTAACCCCTACACAGTGCCCAAATAACCATTCTGAATTGAATATACATGTCAATCTTCCCCATTTCATATTGGTACTGTTTTTTCATTTTTCATTTTTTCAGTCTTTTTGTAGTGCTGGAGATAGAACTTACTGCTAAGCAAGCACTTTACTTTCTTTTAAAATACATTAATTTAGAATTCACTGTTGCCCACAATTTTTTATATGGTAAACCCTTAAAAAAAAACAGGTATTATTTCTAACTTTATTTCATACAAAGTCAGGATTTTAAGTTCAATAAAGAAGTAAAAACTTTACCAACAGTGCCTTCCCTCCCTCTATTCTCCTGCTCATTTTCATCTCAATTTTTAATTTGCAGTGTAAGAGGAAGAACAGAGAAAAACCACATGAAGAAAGCATAAGAGAATTCTCACCACAATCCTGCTCGAAGAACATGCACATTCTTGCATGGTTTCATTGCCTCTAAAATAGTTGACAAAATGGAAAGACATCTCTCATCACACTCATTGATACGTTCCTATTGAAACATAATTAAAAAACACTAAAGATGATGAGCACATAGTAGACTATCTCACTATCTCCGTCAAGCAAAACCACTGACCTGATGTCTTTAAATAAAGGATTAAGTACAAAACTGAGTCAATATAGTCAGTCAATAATAAACAACTTCTCTGGGAAAGAAGACATCATACTTAAGTGAATTTACCAAATAACAGATGCATATTCTTTTATGCATCCATACATTTTTATATTTAATTAAATGACAAGTTCTATCAAACATTATTTTTACCTCTTCTTAGGACCCAAGACTATCATGAAGGCCAATATGATACAGTAATATAAGACCTACTGAAGTACACAGAGCAACTTTCTCCTTCCTAAAGACCCTTAGGAGGCTGTGTTCTTATAATTTATCTATCTTTTCCTGAGTATCTTTCCTGAACCTATTAACTTCAGTTGTAAATCTCCTGCCACATTTTACTAMCGCTATCTGGGTCTCAGGGAGCCCAGGCTCCAAGAATCCTTCCTTGAGGTCTCTTTATTTAAGGTACTAATTTTGATTCCAGAAATGGCAGTGAGCATAATTTGGAAAATGAATAGTAAGAAAAAAGTTTACCTGGTACTCCACAATTTAATCACAACTACCCTATACACCTCATAAGGTTAATTATGATCACATTTGAGGAAATCAGGACAAAAGAGGTACACTCTTTGCTAAAATAACATCACTAACCAGTTATAATGTATTGAGTCAGAACCAGATAATGATAAAAATGAATAAGTCTGAAAGGAAAAAAAGATTTTGTTACCATGAGACAATCTGTGGTACTCCATCAATACCTGCTCTGAAAGGAAAGTCTATCTGGCTGTGAATGAAGGGCAAAGTCATKGATGGCAGTGAGACATAATCATACACACAGATATTCTGACTCCAAATATCCATGGCTTCTACTTCACCAGTGTAAATGCAATGCTGATGTGAATACCTGTCCAAGATCTAGTACCAGTAAGAGGATCACTGACTAGGTAGGGTGATTTGTTATAATCACTTTTAAGTAACTACATAAGAAACTAATATATAAYCTACCAAATAAGCATGGCTATTCTGTGGCTGAAATGAATATATATATACAAAATAAAAATTAGTTCTTAATTGAAGACATAAGGAAATCACAGTAATACAGTAATGTAGAAAGTTAAAAACTCTCATACACCTATGAACCTAATTCTTGAATTCCACAGCTAGATAACATATGTGTCAAATTATCTTCAAGAACTTCTTTCTTTAAAATAAACATTATTTTATTACTATAATTTCAGTTTAGAAGACTGAGGTGTTTACAAATGATTAAATGATTATTTTAATGAGCTAATCCTTCCTGACATCTGGTCAATGACAWCAAGCAGAACACTGACACCCTTGTTTGAAACCAAAAGTTCCCCTATCCAATTTCATTCTTCCTTCCAATGCATTTTCCACTAATTCAGAGACTGAAATACAAATCTGAGCATGTCAACCTTTGGTTTAAAATCTTTCAATGAATTCCCATTGCCTAAAAGATAAATATAAACCCCTGAAGCAGGCATAAAAGATTCTTTACAATTTTGCTCTTATTTTTTCCTAGCCTCATGTTCTACTACCAAGCTACTTGCTGCCCCGACTATCCCGATTGGCCACAATGGGCACAACTTGCTTCCCATCCATTCAAACACACAGCCACGTCATTCTTTACTTCAACAGGATGGTCATCCCTCAACTGCTGGTCATCCCTTGGTCTCAGCTTAGGCATAATTTCTAACTGGGCTTGAATCCCAATTCTACCATGGATTAGGTGTTCATTCAATCAGTACCTTAGCAAGTATAGGTACTGCATCCCTAACCCAAATATCTGAAACTTAATATCGGCACTAAAATTTTTGGATTTTGGAGCATTTCAGATGTTGGGTTCAAATGGTCGAGGTTCAAGTAGTAAAGTCTACGCAAATACTTCAAAATCTGAAAACTCCAAAATCGGAAGCACTTCTAATTCCAAGCATTTCAAGTAATGGATACTCAGTCTGTACCTAAAGATACGGACAGTAACAGGCACATGTCTTGGCCATATAATTAACCTAAGTTTCAGTTTCCTAATCATTAATGAGAGTAATAACACCTATGTTAAAGGGCTATACTAAGGATTACATGGGACGATTCTGTATTTAAATTTTATACCCTGCTTCAAACACTGATCCATCTMATCTTACCATCATGAAGACAAACTAGATTGGAAACTTATGTTATACCCTCTCATAAAACATATTTTTCTTTTATTTCTCTGAGAGCTCTATACGGTCAGCATTCTGTTTACAATTGTATTCCCAAGTGTTCAGAACACTTAGAAAGCACGGCTCATTAAAGGAATGTTATTTTTGTAATTTCCTGCAAAATATGTCTTCCCCTCTAGATTATAAGCTTCATGTGTATTWGGAATCATGTTTTATATCCCCACTGACAAATGCAACAACTTGTTGACAACTAATATATGTTTATTACATGAATAAATGAATCTATCAGCTGTGTGACCTTAGTCAAACAGCTTAATATCACTGGGACTGGTTCTTCATCCTCAAAATAACATTGATCCCATAAGGTTAAGAGGATTAAATAAATTATATAAGTAAAAGGAAAAGATGTTCAATAAACATCAGTTCCCTTCCCTTCTCTCCTTCCTTCAACTACTCAACCTTTCTTTGTAAATCTTGCATCTCTCCCCATTTTAGCCTATTCACAACACTGGAGAAAGTAAAGGGGGCAGACTTTCACAGATTTCCACATCAAAAGAAATGACCTAACTTACGGTCTCTAAAAAAGAAATGCAAAAATAAATGATCTCTTTTGGTAGCTACACATCAATTTCCCTCCCCATTCTTTTGAGATATGATAAACTGAGTAAAAACACATTTAAGTCGCCCTTAAATTTTACCTGGATAAACCTCAGCAACGTCTGTACCAGAAGAGTATTCTGAGGGACTCCAAGCTTCACTATAGCATGAAGACTGAACAGTAGGTGGTCATAGTGCATAATCTTGGCTTCTCGTATCGTTTGTTCACACAACTGGTTAAATGCAGGGTGATTAAACATCAACTGCTTTTCGAAGTGTTTCTGGTCATCGGACATCCTTTTGGCAATTGTCCACATTGCTGACAAATAGTTACTGCTAGGAAATGTAGGTGCTTTGGAAAATATATCTAAAACATCACACAGGGAATTACATTCCTCAGACAGTTTTCTAGAGGTCACAGGGGTTGGTTTTGTTCCCTTGGTGAACATATCGTCACCAGAGGCCTCATGATGGAAGTTTACTTTCTTCAAYCCATCATCAGATGTACCAACAGAGACAAGAGAATGTGTTGAGTCAGCGGATAAGCTTCTAGAACAAAGTAGTCTGTCAACTTTAAAGACAGTGACATTGCTTAGGTCTTTTGTTTGAAAGACACTATATCCTGATTTTAAAATGAATGGACCCTGAAAGAGGTATCTAATGGATGTTTGCATTCTACCATGAAAGTAATTTAACAGAAGGTTTCTTAGCTTCTGGTTTGAATGAGCATTTTTTGGTGTGCRAAATCCCAAAGAATACTGCCTCAAAGTTCTGCTTTTTGGAACTGAAGTACTGAGTTGTCTGAGGTTCCATAGAAAGGAACTTGTTTTGTTGTTCATTTTGCTATCCACGGAAACACTTTCAAATGGGTTTAAAGTTGCCAGTATAAAACAAAAGTCACTCCTATTTGTGAAAGAGAACACATGCTGTCGTTTTCCTGTAAGGAACAGAGTAAAGGAAGAAAGAAAAATTAAACCAATCTTCTACTTAAATAAACACAATGCATTTAACAGAGGCTAAGGTGGGAACCTACCAATCCAACAGATTTACATTTAAAAGGTAAAACTAGTTCACCAATACAGGCGTCCCCTATTTTTACCACAATGTGTGCATTGTTTTAAAGTACTCAGGGTCAACCACTTTAGAAACAATTTTTGCAAAAACTAGCTTGAAAAGAAACAGAAAAAAAGAAGAAGAAAAAAGATTTCAGATGAAAAGTTCTTCCATAAAGCTTCCTCTGCGGAAGAAATTTTTGTTAGTACTGCCTTTGAAATATCTTCAATGGAAATAAAAAGTTTAACTTCGATGGATACTTTCCAACATGATGCTTTAGCAACGACAGAACACGGACTGTTAATAATACTGACTTAGACAAGCTGGACTTGCTCGGGACAGGAAGCAGGAAACAAAAATGATGTGCCCTACGCTTGTAAGATGTCACTCACCGGACCCCACAACCCGTGTCAACATGCTCCTGCAGCTGGGACACCCAGCACTAACCTACCTCCTTAAACTCACTGCCGGGGCTACTCCTCAGACTTTTTTTCGTAGGGCAAAAAATCTAGGGTGTTATACTGCCGGTGGCCCCACCTGTGCTCGTCCTCCAGTCACCTTACAGCAGAACCCGTGCCACTATACGGAGGCCGCCATGATAACTTTGCGATAACCACGCGAATCGCGAGATTTTACGGATTCCCTTACAGGTCAAAAAGGATATGTTCCTGGCGGTTGCAAAAGGGTATGTTTGGAGAGAGAGAAAAAAAAAAAAAGGCTACCAAAAAGAATGACTAGTTTTATTGAAGGCAGAGGTGGAAACTAGGAGTGGAAGAAACCACGGAGCTTATAAAGACAATATATGATCGTACACTGAAAGTAACCCATTCAAGTCACAACTTCGAACGCCCAACTATCTGGCTGGGCGGCCGAGTTCAAGGCTGCAGCCTCAGACTGCGCCTGCGCCACTCTTGGCGGCGCGGGTTGCCCAGAAACCGTGCCGCCGCGGTCGCTAGCTCTAAGTTTTGTTTAAACATGGCCAAATTCGTGATTGCGGGTGAGTGATCCCCGCGCTCGCTCGCAGATGACTCAAAATGCCAACAACTCTCCTCCCATGGCCCCTTAAAGTGTAGATTGCTCTTCTATCTTCGTTCCTTCATTCCACTCAATCTGGCTTCTACTTATGCCTCATATGGAAGCTGTTCCCACCGAAGTTACCAGTGACTTTTACTAAAGCTGTCCCCACCGAAGTTACCAGTGACTTTTACTAAAGTCTTAGTCTTATTCAACTTCCTCAATTCATTGAACACTGTGATCTTATCTGGCTTCTATTCTAACAACTCCAGTCTCTACGGACCATCTCAGGCTTTCTTGTGCTTTTCAAAGAGTTTATTGGATTGTGACAGTTTGCCAAGCACAGCTGAACACAGGGAATACAGGTTTTTGGTTTTGGTTGGTGGTGGGGGGGGGGGAGCATTCTTCGGGGAGTATTCGTTCTCATGAGATAAAAGCACATAATGAAGTACTTTTGATATGGTGTGACTAATGTAATGAGGGAGTGGTACACTTACCTCTGGATGAATACACCCCAGATCTGGAGGTGGGGGTGGGAGTAATAGGGACCCAAGGAACTCACTAGGGGAACTGAGATGTGAAGGTTTGGATAGGGAGGCCATTTCAGATAAAAGCAGAGGGTAAAGCCTCATGGTCTAATGGAGGACCTGAATGTGGGTCTTTGGGGCTAGATCTACAGAAGCAAGAGACAATCTTACTTAGACAGGTAAGGGCAATTGTTTTGCACTTCCTATACACCTGGCAAACACGTTTGAACTGTGTCTTGAAACGAATGGGGAGTTCAAAAAAAGTTATATGAAAATTTTTAGACAGGAGAATCCTAATAGGCTTGCATTTTAGGAAGTCCATCTTGGCAGCAATGCAGGGTCAGAGAGGGACTAAAGTGTGGACTGGCAGCAAAGAACCATGGAGGGGGGCTTATATTGTACCTGTTTCCTCCTGTTCTCAGCAAGTTTTTTTTCTTTTTTTTAATTTGTTCGTTTTGAGAGTGAGGATTGAACCCAGGGACACTTTACCACTGAGCTACATCCCCGAGCCCTTTTAGTTTTTATTTTGAGACAGGCTCTCAGTAAGTTGCTTAGGGCCTCAATAAATTGCTGAGGATGTTCTCCAACTAATGATCCTCCTGCCTTAGCCTCCCAAGTCAACTGGAATTACACACGTGAGCTTTCAGCATGTTTCTTAAAAGAGTAGATTCCTCTTCTATTTTTATTCCTTCATTTCACTCAATCTGTCTTTACTCAATCTGTATCATTATGGAAACTGCCCCACCAAAGTCACCAATGACTTTTACTAAAGCTGTTCATTCTTTGTCTTATTCAAATTCTTTGATACATTGAACACAATTGACATTTACCATCTGCCTAAAATCTATTTCCTTTGCTTCATTAAAAAAATATTTTTGAGCATTGACTATATATTTGAAAGAGTGAAAATTTTACAGAAAATGTTTTGTGTATGACAGTTGCAAGGCAGTGTTCTTCAGTAGTGGTGGCAAGGAATCTTAGACAGGTAAGGGCTTCCCATAGGGAGTAATTTTAAACAGCTGAAAGATGAAAGTAACCTAGAAGAGAAGAGATAGGGCAGAGCAGAACAATTTAAACATGGGTATCAGGGAGGGGGATAGGAGTGAGGAGAACTAATTTGGGGATACTTGAGAATATACAATTAGCATAAAATTGAAGTAAGTTTAGTAGGACTGGAGCAAAGAGAATAAGGAAGTGACTGTCTCAAGCTGAGGCCTGAGATAGATAATGTAGATTCTTCTGAGCCACATTTAGTAGTTTAGATTTTATCCAAAGTGACTGGAAGGTTTTTGGAAGGGGAGAACATGCCTATTTGCCTTTTGCCTGTCTGACCATTATGGACATGGTGTGAGAGAGAAAGACTGAATGCCCACAGATAAGTTAGGAGACTGGCACTATAGATCAGGAAAACATTAGTGGTAGCCTGCCCTAGCACCGTGGACAATGGAAATGGAGAGAAGTGAGAGATGGAAATGGAGAGAGATAAGGGAGGCAGAATCTATACAACTGATTGTCTAATTGTTTGGGGGAGATCAGGTAAGGAAGAAGAAATAATAAAAAATATTCCCAAGCAATAGTTTGGATAACTGGGTCTATTAGGAATCATTTGAAAAAATTAAGCAGAAGAATAGGCTTAATACTCCAGATAGTCTTAATATTCTTAAGTAATTGGGGAGATGGACATAAAAAGAACATAGGAGAAGGAGCACATTTGGTAGGGAGCTAGCATAGATATGTTGAGTACCTATAAGACATTTAGAAGGAGATGGGAGAATACAGGAGGATATATAGACATCTAGGTAGGTATAAGGATAGGTCTGAGCTGAAAATACAGATTTCTACATGAAACTAAGGAAAAATACGTAGGGTACAAAGATAAGTCATTTGAAGACTGATGTTTTTAATGGGTCAATAAGGGAATAAGGACCTACAAAGTATAGAGAACAGCCGGAGATAGAAGGAAAACCTGCAGAATGTCCCATTATATTTAGTGTTTTCAAAGAATGGAGGAGGGTATCAGTAGTGAGTGCTCCTAAGGGTCAACAACAAGACAAGGCTTTTAAAAATACTAGGGCACAGATGACCCTAGTAACCGAGAGAACTGTCAGATAAGCTAGATGGCAGTGGGATGAGAACTAAATCAAAGTGGAGAATTGAGGGTGGCAGTATGGARTGTTTAGAAGGGCATATAGAACGTTGCATTTTTTTAACACACAAGAAACAACATGAATATATTTGTGTATGTCGTAAAGGGAGCATTAGAAACAGATAAGATTCTATCTGTGGGAGATAATCAGTTCAGCAAGGTTTCTTAGAGGGCAAAAGATGCAGTGATTCAAGTGGTAGGATTAGACAGAGAGAGGAGAAGGGATTCCTTTTTCATTGAAAAGGAGAAAGGAGGAAAGGAGGAGTCCAAATTCAGACTGGCTTGCAGGTGTGATGGCAGAAGTCTGAGGGATTTCCCCACTGAGTCCATTTTGTTTAGTTTGGTTTGATTTTTGTAAAGTAGAAAGCAAGGTGTCTCTTACCATCATCAATGTTGTCAGTGTTCTCCTCCTTCCTCCTCCTCCTTCTGTTTATTTTTTCTTTGTTCTGATGCAGTTCTGGGGACTGAACCCAGGACTCACATTTGCTCACACTCCACTACTGAGCCTTATCTCTAGCCCCTGTCTTCTGATAGTGCAGAGAAACTGTGGGGTTGGGGAAGAGATTTGGAGGAAATGGACATAATTTGGAATWGTCACTGTGGAGAACAGAAATGAGTGCTTGTAAGGGAAGCAGAAAGCTCACCAGGCAGAGTTGAGGGCTAATAAAGTCTGGTGACCATGAATTTATAATGTTGTCCCTCTGCTTGGTTCCACCATGTTTCTTCAGTGGTAATTAGCAAATGGGACCCAGGCASAGAGAAGGCAGGTAATTGAGTTCATTGAAGGTGAAGGACTTTTAYCAAGCTGATTTCCTGGGACAGAAGGCCCAGATTATTCAAATCATGAGCCTTAGAATGATGGGCAATGTATTTGAACTAGTCAGAGAGGCTAATGGACAAACGGAGTTGATAACTTGGGAGTGCCCATGCTGTTGACGAACTAGTGACTGGAATTAATTAAGGGAGAATGTTACAGAGAAGTTTCAGCACTTGTTACCTGTACCTCCTGCTCTGTCTTAAACCCATACCTATTTCCTATGGTGGATTTAACCCATTAATGACTGCAAAATGTGTGTCTAAAACCCTTATATAGCACATGAACTTGAGATTTACATATCTAACTTCTGGTTGTGCCCACTTAAATACACTACAGATATCTCCAACTACACCTGTCTGAAATTAAACTTCTTATCCATAATTTCTCTCTAGTAAAGCCACAATCCTCTATCCAATTTAGAAAATAGAAGTTATCCCACACTCTTCTGTTTCCCTCAGTCTCTCCCTCGCCACTAACTGTGGGCCACATATGAAATCCACAGGTGTCCTCCCTCATTACAACTCCTCATTAACCCTTTGGCTTTGAGTGGTTTCTGGTGATTTCTTGTCACCTCTCTTCTCTACTAAGTTCATTGCTTAATTTATAGTACTTAGCAGCCTCTTAATATAATAAAAATCAGAAGTTTATGTCATAGCAGTTTATACTACAATTTTGTTATAAAATTATATTATAACTATGATTAAWTCCATAACTTCATGATAATTTCTGTGTGATAAAAGAAAACATTTGAACTCTCTTAGGTAGAGCAGATTGTCCATATTATGCAAAAACAGAACTTCTGGCAGACTATTTACAGAAGAATCTTCCTGATTTTCAGATATATAAAATTACACAACATCCTGATGTTTGGGAGGTAAGATGCCTTTTTTTTTTCTTCTTGTTGTTTGTCTTTTTAAGAAGACTTGAACCCAGGACTTCCCATTGCTTAATTTGTTAAACTTGTATGTGCATAAAATTACATTTTAATTTGATTAAATATTAGCTAGTGTATCATATTGACCTCCAGTAATAAGTGTTCATGTACTAATGATGTTTGAATACTATAAAATGAGCTCTTGCTTATCAGTCTCAAAACATCATTGCTTTTTCCATAATACCTRGTAGATCAAATGAAACCTAACCATAAGTAGAATAAGTTTGCCTCTTCCATCACCAACCCAACCAAGAATTCAGCTAGCTTAAATTGCACTTGTTAACTGTACATTTTCTTCCAATGCTTAATCGATAGTATTTAGCATCCTCTTAATATAGCTGATTCCTAATAGGAGGAGGATTTATTTATTTGAAATACCCATATTTGTGACTAAGTTGCCTCATAAGCACACTTTGAGAAAGAGCTTTGGGTGCTTTGGTTATGAAGGTAGAAGCTGGACTAGATGGCATCCACTTAAGTACACTCATTATGCCTTTGGACCCATATGATCCGTGAAATAATTTATGCTATCTAGTAATAAGTCCTCCAAGATTCTGGTTGATGTCTTTCCCCAGAGAAACTTTTCAGGAGTAATATTAGTCAAATTACCTATATTTTCAACTGCACATAGTTTTCAGAACCAAACTGACTCTTGTCACCTCTCTTCTCTACTATCCATTATATATTCCCTTCATCCTCTACTGGTGTAGGAGACTTATTGGGTGTGGTGACCTTAAGGGATCTGATTCCTAGTCCATTTTCAGGATAGAATTGGTACACTTGTTCATTTACTGTCAAAATCAAGCAGGGTAATAACAAAGACACCCCAGTGGAACCTAGATCCTAAATATTCTTTACTGCTTATGTTGGGCAATGGCTGCTCTGTATGCTCATCATMAGCAGGGTAATTATTCCTTCAAGCATGGCATCTCCTCTCCTTGCYTGCTACTTGGCACAGGAGCTCAATGTGACTAATGGAAACTACASCTTAAATTTAGTGGTACTCTTCCTGTTTCCCTTGATAGAAACAGTCTCCCTTTAGGATTTAGAATCTCACACAGTCTAGAATAACAGAGTCTATGGAAGCACAGGTTACCCAAGTGGGTCCCTGGGGGTGATGGTAAGCAGGATCACTCTTAATTCTACTCCTTGGTTCCTGGATTCAGGTATTCTACATATTAGGGCAAAATATTACATTGATTTATGATGTGTATAACATCMTGAAAGAGATGCCCCATCCTTCCAAGGTATCAGTCTTTAAGCTAGCACCTGTACCTTTGGTGGCCTGTCCTGCCCTCTATTATTCTGGGTGATGTGATATATGATAAGGGCTGTGGAACCCATGGTTACATGCTAAATACTGCATCTCTTTGCTATAAACTGAGTCCTTTCATTCAAAGTAATTTTGCAAGCCYTAATCCATACTGGTCAAAGATCTAAGAGTAGAAAAGGCAGTTATTTACCCAGAATACATGTAAATGCAATTCTAAATAAATCATTACTCTCTTTAGGGTGATAGGAGTTCAGTGTGATCAATTTGCCATGAAAGTGCATTGGTCTTTGTTGCTGAACATTTAGCAGCACAATAACTAGGTAGACTTTACTGAGTGGCAGCCCATTCTCTTGAGCTATTGTATAACTTCTGTCTCTTCTGTGAGCAGACTGCAACTGTTATTTCATCCCCTGGCATTAGTTATAGTATTTCTTTAACAGTAGATGTTTTCTTCTGCTGTCTCAGATCTTTTTTTTTTTTTTTGGACTGGGATTGAACTTAGGAGMACTTAACAACTGAGCCACATCCCTATCCCTTTAAGACAGGGTCTCCCTAAGTTTCTTAGGGCCTTACTAAGTTGCTGAGGCTGGCTTTGAGCTTGCTATCCTCCTGCCTCAGCCTCCCAAGCCCCTGGATTACAGGTATGCACCAGTCTGCCCAGCTTTCTCAGATCTTATCATTGGGAGGCCTAGTATACATAAACCAGAAAATGGTAATTTACGCTTTTTCTAATAGATATTAGCAGATACTCCCAAGTGACTTTTAGCTTATTCAGTCTGAATCATATAAACAATGTTCACAGAAAATAAATATCAAAATTTATGTGTCCCTAAAACTGGAAATAGATCATATATAAGAAGAATACAGGGGATATAAGTCACTTTTWAAAAATAAGTCTAATTAGAACATCTGGCCTCTCTTTAAATTAAAAATTTGTACTCCAGGTTTCCAAAAGACTAACTTTCAGTAACTTTATTTGACTAATGAATTTGAAGATTTATTCTTTCTTTTTTATTAATTTGTAACTTAAATCATCATTATTTTTCTATACTTACTTTTTACTGTTTAAAGATACCCAAATTGRTATTGAATTGAATTCTTGGGCAGATCTAATATATGATTTTTTTGGAGTGTCATTCAACAGGAATGGCTGAAAGATGTGTGTGAAAAGAATAAGTGGAATCACAAAAAGTCTCCCATTATCTGGAGAGAGCTGCTGGATCGTGGAGGAAAGGGTTTGCTTTTGGGAGGATATAATGAGTTCCTGGAGCATGCTCAGGTGCATAARTTAACTTGTCTGTTCAAAAAAATATATTATTGTATTACATTATTATATGTTTCAAATGTTATTTTCAGGATATTCTGTCATCTTTCTTTGAGWTAGAACAAAAATTTTCCATTATGACCATTATTGAGTGATGATCTATTTTCTGAGGTTGACTTTTTCATTCTCCATGTTTAGCTTTACTATGATGTCACCTCTAACATGATGACTGAGCTAATGATGGTAATTGCTCACGAGAACCTGGAGGCACATATAGAAAAAGAGCTGGAGAAGGAAACCCAGAAAGATCTCATCAGCCCCTTGCAGGTCTGGATCACCAGGTGAGATAGTCAAACACTAGGATTTAGGAAATTGGCTTTTATTTTTAGAAAGAACAATAAGATGGGATTAATTTCRTGATGGAAGAATACCTGAATGTCAAGTTTGAGATGTGTGTTGGGAGTATGCATGCACATTTATGGTTAGATATGTGTGTGTGTGTCCTYCTTTGTAACCCCATGTATGAGTTCTAGATTTCACACATATGCGTGCATACACACACATGCACACACACCCACTTAACTGTACAGTATGTCTGCTTTGCCAGATTTCTGTCTCTGGCACTGGTCCTCTCTAACCTTTGCCACTTGCTAGGTTTCCTTGGCTCCTCCTCTTGTGCTCCCCTTCTGTGTTCCCCACTCCCCTCACCTTGTTTTTCCTTCTTTTTTCTCCTTCTCAAGTTTGCTTGCCATTGCTCCCAGTCTRGGACACATCCAGTCTTTGCTGTCACTGTCTCTCTTTCTTTGATTTGATTTAATTTGATTTTTATTGGTGCATTATAGCTTTGCATAATAATGATATTCATTGTGATACATTCATACATGCACAATTCACATTTTAGTCTGTTTAATTCTCTTGTGTCCTCCTTTCCCCCTCCCCAGCCCCTTCCTCTAATCTACTGATCTCCCTTCTATGTTCATGAGATCCMTTTTATTTCCTTTTCCTCTCAAGCTTCCACATACGAGAGCAAACATAMAACCCTTGACTTTTTGAGTCTGACTAATCTCACTTAGCATAATGTTCTCCAGTTCCATCCATCTGTACTCTTTCTCTTTTTCATCTCTGTACTGTCTCTGTCTTTCTTGCTCTCTCCCTCTCCCCCTCTCCTTTCCCCACCCCTCCCCACCCCTCAGTCTGACTCTCACATTATCCTTCTGTAGAGTAAGAAGAATGTGTGTACMTAACATGTGCACTTACTTTAAAGATTATTGTTATTTTGAAATATAAATACTCAAAGAATTGAAAATTGTTTAGTAAACATCTAGGATCCTATAACCCAGCTTTAATAAATGCCACATCTRAAGAGCATCAAAATGGTATAGATACTGTTGAAACTCCTGTTGCACCCCTCCCCAAGCCCGTTGTGAACACCAGAAATTCTCAGATGCAATTCCRAACTCCCTACAGTTGATTATCACAGAAATAGAAGACCCAGATACTTGCAAAATACAGTTAAAAAGATACCATACACAGCCTGTGTTGATCCTAGCCATTTTTACAAGGATTTGTCTTTGTGGAAATTTGGAAAAGATGGTCCTTTCTAAAAAGAAAAAAAAGTCATTACTTTATAGATAAGTGTATAAAATTTTAAAAAGCTGTGGCTAACTGAAACTTAGGTCTTTTTCTTTTAAGAAGAAATGTAAACRTGTAATTGAAGTAGTGTGATATATCTCTTTGAAATTTTGCTTTCTGCATATAGGGAATTCTGTTTTATTTGAAAAACATATTACACAGGTACATGTCTTACTTGAAATTGTTTTGAGATACCCAGAGCAAGGAGTTATTAATGAAAAATTTTTTGTTSTATTTCCAATTTTTAGCCTTCAAAATGTCTATGCAGCTGTAGAATGCTTAAAAATATTAAATCATCCTACAATGCACATGCAGAAATATCTATTAAGAATAAATGCTTAAGAGGGCAAAGGATCTAACCATTCACAATTCAACTCTGCATTTTTATCAGTGCAACCTCTCCTGCCTGCTACAACCTCCTTCCCATACTGACGAGTGGTGAAGTGTTTGGGATGCAGACGGAAATTAGCCTAACTCTGTTTGACAAGGAGCAGTCGGAAGAACTACTCAAAAGCCTGGTGATGGAGACGCAGGACCTGGCGTCTCCTGTCCTCCGCAGMGTCTCCAGCTGTACTACGGAGAAATACGCCTTCCACCAGGCCCATGTGGTCATCATCCTTGACGACAGCACCGAGGAGGAGGTSTACGGTCTAGAAGAGTGCCTGAGAAGCAAGGTGCCACTGTGTCGTCTCTACGGAAACCTGATTGAGAAAAATGCTCACGAATCTGTCAGGGTTATTGTGGGAGGAAAAACCTTTGTAAATCTTAAAACGGTCTTGCTTATGATGAACGCCCCAAGCATCGCCCACAACATTATCGCGGTGGCTCTGGGGGTGGAAGGACAAGCCAAAGCGGCAATAGCCAGAAAATTGAAAACAACTGCTTCATGTGAGTGAACTCCTGCTGATGATTGTGTTTGTGCTTTTAAACAACAGGATTTCAAGCAGCTAGGAAGAAGGTGCATCCCCTTGGATTTTCTGGATAGCTAGAATAAAAGTAGAAAGTAGATAACTAACAACTTATTTAACTACAGTAGTCCAACTAGAGTAGTTTCCCTTAGTTAGGGGATATATTCTAGGACCCCCAGTGAGTGCCTRAAAYCACATATAGTACTAGACCCTACATATATTGTTTATTTCTATATGTACATACTTGATGAGGTGTAATTTACAAATTAGSAACAGTAAAAAGTTAACAATAATAACTAATGATAATATAGAATAATTATAACAATATATTATAATRAAAGTTCTCCAAAACATGAATTATTTCTGGAATTTTCCAWTTAGTATTTTTAGACTGTAGTTCATTGAGAGAAACTGAAGTCATGAAAAGTAAAATCTTGGATAACAGAGACAACTGTACTGGGCATTTTTTTTTTTTAACCAGCTTTTATAATTGACCTGGTCCTYCATTATAAAAACTAAYGAACATGGGCTAGGGTTGTAGCTCWGTGGTGGAGCAYTTGCCTAGCAYRTGTGAAGCACTGGGTTCAATTCTCAGCACCACATATAAATAAATAAAATAAAATAAATTAATGAACAGATATTTGATATAAGGCMTATACTAGTCAAATAATAATTTGAAGCCTAATATTCAATTTTTTCTCAATAATTGTCAATTAAGGTAATCGATGCTTAAAAAAATTTAGAGCTATGTTAAAATGGCTTTGCCCCACTTMCCATCCATGTGACCTCGAGCAAACATGCTGTTCCTCAGTTTTCTCATATGTAAAATGGGGATGTTAACAGCACCTCCCTCTCAGAATAGATGTAAGATCCAATGAGATAATATTTCTAAAGTACCTGTGTGCAGGAATACCTGGCACATGGTAACATTTGCAAGGATGTTAAACTTTATCAATAGGCTTATAATATCTGGTCAGTGCTCCTATTATCTTTGAACTAGTAGACATCAGAACCATCTGAAGATGAAACTGGATCACAAAATGGATGGTTATATTTTCAAGGTCAAGAACACATCTGACATATTTTAGTTCTCTGTGCCCAGAGATGGAGCAGTTGCAACACTGAGAATGGGAGGAGGCACAAGACTTTACAAGAATGAAACACAAGGAAGAGGGAACCTGGAATGCCTAAACCAGGCCATGGAAGACTTGAATGAGCCCCTGATATTAGAGCCTGTGCTGCTTTATCTGTTTCTTCCCAGTGAAACCCCAGGAAGTATAACTCCTTGTATTCTTGTATACATATCTTTAGAGTCTAACCTCCACAGTAAAACTCAACCAGACTAATGCTAAAATTATTCAGTAGGAAATGAAACATTTCCTAACCATTTTATCTCTGTCATTGACCTTATAGTTACATATGTAGACACTGATTTATCACAAAAGATTCATAATACACTGATGAAAAATGTCAAGAAGAGGCAGTGATAGAAAATTTTAAATGAGACATATGTGTTGGGGGAGGGTAGCCTAGGCTTTCAACTAGAAAGGTGCTGTCTTGTGGGTCTGCTGGTGCCATAATTATAAGTTCTGCTCTACTTAAAGCAAATAAGCATGTGATGAGCAGAAAGAAGTAAAAATAGAGGAAAACCAGGAAGAGGAAGGAGAAACATTAGATAAATAGTTAATTGAAGTGGAATTGTCTGTGAAACAACAAGGAGAACCCAGTAAAGGTAAAAACACTTAAGCAAAATGATGTGAAAGTGGGAAACCACTAAGGAAATCATTCAGGGATCGTTGCAGCTGCCAAGAGAGTGGCAAACCTTTCCATAAAAGCCAGGTTCAGCRTATCCCTAAGTTCAGTTCACACATTCTCAGACCATGTGTAGTCTTAATTGGTACTCTGTGTTACAAGTGATAGAAAGTCAACTCAAAGTGCCTGAAGTGGTAGTTTTTTTTAGGCATAGCTGAACACTGCGGCTCCAATGATGACATCAGGACTCACTGGTCTCTTTTTCTGGCTGACCATTCAGTTAGTTTTACTGTAAGGTAGGCTCTAAGGTGTAGCAACATGGCCACTGGCATTCTCAACTCACAAGTTCATGACTTACCTAACCAGTAGAAAGAGGACTTTCTTCCCTGCTGGTTTGTACAAAAGTACTACAAACTTATTGGCCAGGTTAAGACCACATGCCTATCTCCGAATCAGTTACTGTGTCCAAGAGAGTAGAATCTGGATCTCATGTCTATTGCTGGATCTAAGAAATAACAACAGCCCCATCCAAACCATATGGACTGAGATTGAAGAAAGGGTAATTATTTAAAGAAAACCCAGGATACTGTTAAAGAAAAAAAGAAGGAGGAAGAGAGACAAAAAGCAGCAGATGTTCACTAATTTTCTGAATCATAATTTAGGGTTTTTAGAGCTATAAAGAGACTCAGAGCCAGTAAGAAAAATGAGACCCAGTGAGATTAAAAGTCTTCTTTAATCTCTAAGAAGAAAATCTACCTTATGTTTACCTGGGGCTAGAGAATAATTTTCCTGTGTGGATCATGAACTCCAAAGCCTGACTACCTACCCTACCCAAGCTCCTACATCATACAGCTAATGGATGGACCCAAGTGCATATTATAAGATCTCTTGGGAGTAGGGCAGTGAAGGGAGAAGTAGCTATTCCAACGTCATGAGCCATTTAGGTATAAAAGAGAATGTCAGAGGATGAGATAGGCATTGATGGGAGTCTACTTGAGTTCCATTCCCACCTTCTTCTTCCCTGCCTGTCTCTTGCTAGAGATCCAGGACCAACCCCAGTGATGTAATTTTCAGTAGCAGTTTCTTTCAGGGAACTTTCAGTATTCCTTGATTTTAATCATATACCACACCTTCACAGAGCATTATTAGTGATTGCCAAGTGCTGATAATTAGAGAGATGATCCACACCTTTTTCAATATACTCTCCAGTTTATTTATTTTTATTTATTTTTTGGGACACAGTATCTTTATTTTTTATTTATTTATTTTTATGTGGTGTTAAGGATCGAACCCAGGGCCTCACATGTGCTAGGTGAGTACTCTACTGCTGAGCCACAACCCCAGCCCCCTCCAGTTTATTTTACAGCCAATGGAGCATTCTAAAATAGACAAAAGTAGGATTCAGGTAATTTTTTATATTAATATTATATAATGTTATGTTAATATATTTGTATTAATGTTGTGATATCATTTATTATGATTATTTTTATTTCTATTCTCAGGCATCAAAGATGTGATAATTTGGGGTAATATTAGTGGAAATAACTATGTTGATCTGAGGAAAACACGGGTTTACAAATACGACAGTGCCATTTGGGGACCTCCTGAATTTTCTCGCCCTGTTTTAGATGTGATTTTTGATAGGTACAGTATATTTTTAAGTGATGTATACCAACAATGTTAAATAAATGTATGATAGTTGTTACTTTCTTTAGAAGCATCCACAAGTCGTTGTGCAAAATTAACTCATATTTTTTCTCATATTTGTTCATGCTTTCTTTTAAAGCAAACACAGAAAATTCCACAGAATATCATCAAGTTACTCCCAATCCTAATTTTTTTTTAAAGAGAGAGAGAGAATTTCAATATTTATTTTTCAGTTTTCGGCAAACCAACATCTTTCTTTGTATGTGGTGCTGAGGATCAAACCCAGGCCACACGCATGCCAGGCGAGCGTGCTACCGCTTGAGCCACATCCCCAGCCCCTCCCAATCCTAATTTATTTGATTTTGAAATTATGTTTTTTATGTCAGATGATCCTTAAAGTAGTTTATTTACGTCATTAAACTTATCTCTAAAACAAATATATGTAAAGGTAATCTTATTTAGTGTAAAGACAGATACATATCCAAGTTTAAATTATTTGAGGCATTTTAAGAAAGAGRAATTAAAGAAAATAAGAAAACCAGGCCAGGCTGGGTATTGTGTCCCAATAGAGGCAGAACTGAGAGTGGTGAGGCACATAATCCCAGGACCAAGCTGCTTGGGTTGGAACTCTCAGCCACCTATCAGCTGTGTGGCTTTTGAGAAATCACTTAATCTCTTTATGCCTTAGTTTCTCCATCTGCAAAATAGAAACAGTAACATGAGATAGCCCATACAGGAATGCTAGGAACATGAAATGGATTAATCCAGGTAAAGCACAAGAAACACCAGCATTGTGATGAGGCAGAAGAGGAGACACCAGCAGGAGCGCCTTTGAAGCATTTTTCTAAACTCTACAACACTTTCCCAGTTGTCTCATATCCTTTCCATTTCCCCTCACTTTCCCCTCCTCACAACCTAGGAACTTGGTCTGTGTCTGGGAATGATGTGTCCCCGGTTTGCCCTTCTGGAACCAGATTTCTTTTGTGTGCTGCCTACACAGGGCCAGTGTTGCATGGAGCTGTGTCATGTGCTAACCCATTAGCAGGGGCAGCCTTTTAGCACTCGTTCTAGCCAAGCTAGGCTATTCCCTGAGTTTAGATTCAGACCATAAAAACATAATTATTCCCTAAATYTCAGATGAATAATTCAGTGCTTCATGAAATTGTTTTATTTTAAATGAAGGATATCACTGGTTCCAAAATAACATCTACATAGAATAAATTCTTTGTAATGAAAGTAATTTTCCCTGCAGTATTTGGCCACTTTTCTGTGTTCCATATTCATATTATCATGGTGTTAGTTTGAAATTTTGGGATTCCTTTCTGCTACGCTTGATTATTTTTCCATCAACTTTTTATGGGGACTGAAGTCTGTTGAAGAAAGGGCATATGAAGTCATATTTCAGTCTTGAGTATGTATATAATTCCTGGTACTTAGTTTCATTGAACCAGAGAATATCTTTTGTAATTTGCATTCCTCTCTCCATTGTAAAATTGTTTCTTTTTCTCCTTACAGTGAGTGGGTAAAAAGAGAATTTGTGATGACCATTAAAAGTTTGACCTCCACGGGAAAACAATTTGGACGCATTTTAGCTTCACACAGTATAGCCACTACGTTGAAATATTGGTACCATGGCTCACCACCTGGGGAGATTGTGTCTTTAGGAGTACTGAGTGAAGGTAAATCTGGGTTTTTCATTTCTTGTAATATTTAAAAACCTCTTGTCTAGGTCTTAAAATGGTCTATAACCTCTGTGAACTTTTATGTTACCATAATTCATTGTACAGTTATTCATTCAAAAACTCGACAATATTTTGTATGACTGCACTGGAAACACATTAGGAATTTACCTGGCATCTTCCTTTAGGAAATCTACAGTAAAGAACAGCCAGACACACTCAGTTTTATGAAGGCAAGAAAGAGAAAGCAAAGTCAGTTCTAGGCTGGGAGCAGGAAGAAACAGGGCATCTTCATAATGGACATCTTCACTACAGGAAGCCACAAAGTCTGAATATTGCTGAACTGGAAGACAAGAGTGAAAAGAGCACTGGTTATGGGAAGCCCTGGGAAGAAAGATGCAGAGTGGGATACAAATGAGTGCAAGAGGACCAGGCAGCACTAGAATGTGAAAAGGTTGCTCTCTGTCCACAAATACTAGGTAGAAATGTCTACAGCCTTAATGTTTTAATCTACTAAAACCTATTTAKCAGATAAACACTAGCTAAACCATCTTCTGCCATTTTTACAAAACAGGAAAGAGAATAGCTAATATTCTGTCCTCCATAGTTCTACCTAAAGCATCTCTTCCCTTTCTGTTTTCCTGTCTCCCTTAGCAAGCTTAGTTTCTTCAGTGCTGTCAGCCAGGGCCCCTCTGCTGAGTTCTAGCCTGCCAAATATGGCTACCTGTTTAGCAGGTAACCATGCTGTCACACATAACACAACCCAACGTACACCAAACTGAACTTACTGTCTTCCTTCCCAATCTGATCTACCTCTTGCATTCCTTGTGTTATTAGCAGAATCATCACCATCTTCCACCTTGTTCCAGGGACTTCAGTGCATTTTGAAGACATCTCTCCAAATTCCCCATGTCAGAATTAACCTGTCTTCTCCTCTATACTCATGTAGTATTTCGTTCATCTGTCAGAGAGCATGTTGTAGTCTGCCTTTTTAGTTATATATGTGTCCTTTACTTGAGAATGTGCACCCTGAGGGCAGGGGCTTTGTCTGGGTCATCTTTCTACACCTTCCTATAGGAGCATTTTGTATGGAAAACACTCAGTGAATCTTATTCAATTGAGGTTAAGATTCATGAACATTGCCACAGCGTGATTTTACTTTTTTTTTTTTTTTTTTTTTAGAGAGAGAGAGAGAGAGAGAGAGAGAATTTTTTAATATTTATTTTTTAGTTTTCAGTGGATACATTATCTTTATTTTATTTGTATGTGGTGCTGAGGATCGAACCCAGCGCCCCATGCATGCCAGGCGAGCACACTACAGCTTGAGCCACATCCCCAGCTCAACGTGATTTTAAATCATTGTATGTGACTTTGTAGGAAAATGGGTACTTAAAACCCTTTATTTATAGAAATAAAGTTGAATTAATCTCTATAGGAATTTCATTCAAAAATGAAAGGGGAAAGAAGATATCCTAGTGACTACATTTTCAGTGTCCAGAATGGCAGGAATCATTTTCTTATTTGAGGCATCAAAGAAGGGGAGTCATCTTATATGAATGGTGCTCAATTAGTAATAAAGAATGCCAATCTTTTTACAGAGAGCACAATTCAAATGAGGTCCTGGAAACTGCAAAGAAATAGCCAACTTTCCTGCCCACTTCTTTCYTTTCCCTGTCCTTCATACCCTGGCAATAAGACTGCCGTAGTAGGCTAGAAGACAGATTGAACAAATGACTTTGCTCATGGGCTTTATAGGGAGCCATGGAAAAGTTATAGGAAACAGATACAAAGAATCCAGGCAAGATTTAGAAAGGAAAGAGTGCATTAACCCTTGGGATAGGAGAGAACTAGAGATGGGAGTACTGTCCGCACTTAAACAGGTGCTCAGCCAATACTTAGAAAGTGAGGGCTTCAGTCCTCCCTTGAGGAATTTCTAGAAATTTAGTTCACCATTCTCATTATAAGTTGTCTATTATGTGTGTCCTTTTCTATAACACTTAATAGGGTTTGTTTTTCTGAATGCTTTTGTTTTGCTTTTCTTTGTATCTACTCACTACAGGCCAGTTTGGTATTCCCRAAGGGATTGTCTTTTCTATGCCTGTGAAATTTGAGAATGGAACATGGGTGGTTCTTACAGATCTCCCAGATGTTGAAATAAGTCAACAAATAATGACCAGAATGACCAGTGATCTAATTCAGGTAATGCCAGAGTACATTCAAGGGAACTGACTTTGACAATGCTGAAACTGATTCCCCCAGGGCAAAGCATACATTGGTTTTCTGTGGGTTCAGTTTGTACCATATTCCTAAAAATAATGAGGCAATGAAAGTTTGAAGAAATCTGCAGAAGAACACTACTCATCTGATTATATAACGTCTGGTATGTTAAAAATACCATTTATTTAACATGAAGAATCAAAGCATTTTTCTCTTTAAATAATAAGTAAGTAAGTATGGTCATTTAATTCTCTGATTATAAAATTTGTCAACAGGAGAAACTTGTTGCACTTGGAGACATGCTGACTTTTCAGCCATATCATTCAGGTAACCTCTTGAATGTGGTGTTGTGTTGCACTGCTATTAAAGAGTTTTAAATACTTGTTACAACAATCATTGTTAATATAGATGACTCTAATCCATGTTTTATTATTTTTAAATCAAATTATTGACAAAATAAACTGCCACGTTCTGTMTATCTTTTGAAATAAAACAGAAGAATGCTAAGAAAATCATATCTTAAAAATGTCATGACCTTATAACTTTGGGGAATAATATATTAATTAGTTTTTGAGAACTACTATAACAAAYTACCACAAACTGTGTGACTTAAAACAATAGGAACTTATTTGCTTACAGTCAAAGGACTGGAACACCTAAATTCAGCCATCAGTAGGGCCATGTTCCCTTTGAAGGCTCTAGGAAGAATCTTCCTTACCTCTTCTAGCTTCTGATCCAACACTTGGTGTTCTTGGCTTGTAGCTGTACCACTCTAATCCCTGACTTCCCTTGTATGTGTGTCTTCTTTTTGTGTGTTTGTTTCTAAGTCTGTCTTTCCTTATGAGGACGCCAGTCATTGCATTTAGGACTCACCCTAATCCAGTAAGTCCACATCTTAGATTGATTATATCTTCTAAGACCCTATTTTCAAATAAAGTCACATTCACAGGGGTTAGAACTGCAACATACCTTTTTGGAAACTTAAGTTAAACCACACCACCATATTTACTTTTCGATAACTTAATTTAAATTCAGGAAATTTCAGTAAGCTTATTTTTTTCATTGATATTTTCTCTAATCAGAAACTCATAAGAAGTGCTGTCATCTCTCTTTTTTTCCTTTATTTTAGAGAAAATCCCACCTTAACTGTGGAAATAGGCATGTAGAAATAAATTAATGTACATGAAGAGCTTTAGCCAAATGTTTTTTGGAGTCCAACATTTTCTTCCACTGTCACTTAGGGATTACCAACTGTAAGTCAGTGCTAGGAGCTAGAAATACATGAATAGATACAGTAGACATGATCTTGCTCTCTTGRAACCTACAGTCCACTAAGGGGCCACATGTATAAATGACTCCGTTGTGGCACATCTTAGGAATGAGAAGTACAGAGTGCTGTGCTGTGAGAGGCTTGGGGATAGGAGGAAAGAACTTGAAGCAGAAAAGCAAAGATCAGCTTGCTTGGAAAAAAAAACTGCGAAAAAGCTTATGTGGCTAAAGCCTAAAGAGGTTGTGTGGAGAGAGCCATAAGGTGTGGACCCAAGAGCTATGGGAGGCTTCTGGGTAGAGAATAACATGATCATGAGCAGGTGGCAGAGGAGCATGAGAGAGGGGTAGTCGAGAGAAGGATGAGCCTCTGGAATTGCTCAGGTRGGGATTCGTTTGGAAAATGTGCTGGAATAAGGCAAGGCTGTCTACAAAAAGAYTGGTGTTAGGAGGTGGCACAGTGACACGAGGAAGAGAGCTTTATAGCCRAGACTAGAGGCAAAGCAATTGGAGAGATCTTTAGATGTGATTATCAAGATTTGATGATGGGTTGGCTCTGAGGAGTCCCAGAGGACTCGGGCTTCTTTTGGTTAAACAACTCGTGGATTTCCTGAAAGGTTTGGGAATTCAGAAGCGATTCTGACCATTGGTCAAGTCAGAAGCAGTCCAAACCAAGAAGCCCAGAGACAGAGCAGAGGTGGAAAGTGCAGGCACGGAGGGTTGTGTAGAACTCTTATTCCCAGAATTTAGAGGCTTTCTGGGTGGCTTTCTGCATTTGGCAGACTAGAACTCAAATTCCTTTTATCAGAGAGGGCTATTAAACTGTTGTCCTAAATTTGACTCCATTGACTTGTAGCTGGTCCTACATTTCCCATCTATATTTGCCTTATAGAGAGTCTTGAAAAAGAAAATGACCTGATAATATGCTGTGTTCTTATTAACAAAGGTCAAGGGGTGGGTGGGTGGGAGGGTGTGCAGCAGGCGTGCATACAGGAGTATTTGATTGACCTTGACTCTGTTACCTTTGAACCTTTGCAGGGATCCCAAACTTAGAGCATTGAAGTAATCAGAGCATTGCACACTCACAGTTTGGAGAACTTTGCTTAGTAACTTATCACTGATATGATTCGTGTATGACTTTTTTTAATCTCTTCAATTAATTTAATGCTTACCTTTCTGACTTTTAGAAACTGAATTATCCCTAAGAGATAGAAGGCTCTCCTTAGCCAGCACAGATGACAAACAGGAAGAACAAAGTGGTAGGTACACATAGGGAAAAGGTGCCTTTTTTAATCTAAAGGTTAACATTAAATTTCAAAGAAAAGAATTTGATCATCCATTAACTACAAAAAGGGAGTTAAGTCATTTGTCACCCTTATCACATACTAAAAAATAAGATCATATTTAAAATTTATTTAAAACTTTGGAGGAAATAACCCAAAATTTGTGGTGCATCTTCTATTTCCTGGTTGCTGGGGGACACAACAGGGAAGCTGGCCGCACAAACCCTGTAGAGGAAAGGAGCCTTGAGRCTCTGAGGTGCAGGACACTCAGTGAATTAGAAAACATACTAAGTTGGGGCACCATAGGGTGAAAGAAAGTACATAATAAGTAACTCTCTAAAACCTCACAAGGAAAGGAAGGATCCTTTATGTAAGATGGAGAAAGAAACTTGAAATCTACCTGGGACTTAAGATGGCTAAAGATAAACAAATTGGCATTTATTTATTCAGAAACTGTGCTAGTTCAGTTATATAAGTTGAAAAGCTTCCAGAGATCTGCTGCACACAATGTACACATAGTTAACTGTGTCCTTAAAATTTTAAGAAGGCAGATTTCCTGTTATTATGTATTTTGCCCATAGGGAGGAAAGAAAGGAGGGAGAAAGTGAGGAAGGAAGGGAAAGAGGGAGGGAGGGAGGGAGGGAGAAGGGGTGCTATATGTTAGGAACATAAAAATAAACGTTAACATCTGCCCTAAAAAGTATTTACCATGGAGCATAGGAAATAGCTAAGAGAAAATTACCTCACTGAGAGATGTCTAAGTTTGTTCAGGCTGCTATAACAAAATACCATATGCTGGCTGGGTGCAGTGGTACACGACTGTAATCCCAGTGTCTCAGGAGGCTGAAGCAGAAGAATCATGAGTTCAAAGCCAGCCTCCGCAACTTAGTAAGGCCCTCAACAAGTCAGCAGGACCCTGCCTCAAAATAAAACATAAAAAGGCCTGGGGATGTGGCTAAATGACCCTGGGTTCAAACACCAGGACCAAAAGATAAACAAATAAATAAACAAACTGAATAGCTTGTAACAATAGAACCTTATTGGCAGATTTGTTGTGTGATCAGGTTCCATTTCCGAGTTCAYACATGGTGCTTCTCACTGTGTCCTCACATGGTAGACAAGGACAAACAAGCTCCCTTAGGCCTGTTTTATAAAGATACAATCCCATACATGAGGACTATCCTGATGACTTAATCACCTCTCAGAGGCCCCACTTTTAGTATCGTACATTGGGGTTAAGGTTTCAACATAGGAATTGGGGTGGAGGGATAACACAAGCATTTAGGTCCTATCAAATGGTAGGAGGTCCAGGGTGAAGTGGAAGGACCTAGGGTCTCCTAACATAATATTAGGAAAGCCTTTCCAGAAGAGATGACATGAGACCTGCTCTGGAAAGATGAGTAGGGATCATTCATTTGATTTAGAGAGAACCTCCTTCTTAGGAGGTTGTGAAAGTATCCACCAGGGGAAAGGAATGTGGCAAAGGAGGCATTTCAGGAAGTCAAGACTTAACCAGAACTTCCAACCTAGAGCCGTAAAAATAAATAAATAAACAAATAAATAAATAGAATGATTTCCAGAAGATATTAAGTAGGGTAGCTGGGCTAAAGCAGAGAATGTAAAAAGGATGAGTGGAGTCGGTAAGGTAAGGAGGGGCCATGTACTATTCAGCTGTATGGTTATCAGTATGGCTGGTGGACGGCGGGACAAAGCATGAAATAGATGGCTTACAGAACTACTCTGGATGCATCACAGGCCCTGTAGAGGATTTTTACATATCCCAAATCACTGTCCAAATGAGCTTGGTAAACTCAGTCCTAACCCGAGGAGATCTCTCAAGAGGGCCCGTTAGCTAGAGCTACGTCTGGGCATCTTAGTAACAGTACTGTCATTCTACTTGACCCAACAGGTATTAAGCAACACTCAAGGAAAGWACTGAGAGGGAACTGAGAAACTTACAAGCTCTGTTGTGAGGAAGGTGACTGGCAGATTTCCAGGATAGAGGAAGAAAAGCCAAATTGCAGAGTGTGAATTCCATAGAATACATAGAATTTAAGTTACCAGTTAAAATCCTAGGCACTAAGAACTCGTACCAAGTAATATTCTTATGAAGACTCAAAAGCTTCATTAGCGATAAAGTGAAGAAAATAGCATAGATTTCAGGTTGATTTGGGAGCTATTTGTTGAAAATCAAGAGGCACTTACTATAGGACTTTCCATATTGTGGAAACAACCTCCATAACCTTACTGGGTTCTTTAAAAAAAAAAAAAAAACTAGTGACTAATGAAATCAATTTCATTACTAGCATTTTTTTCATCTAAATATTGTAAAATTGATAAGAAAATAGTAAAAATTCCAGGTCCTTTTTGCCCCCAACAAACTAAGATTTTTAAGAAAAAAATAAACAAGTATAGATTAGATAATATTATTTTATATAATTTTTGTTTCATTTTAATGTATAAAAGTGTATGTCCTGGTCTATAACATAAAATGTACTCTTGACTGTGGATCCTGGTCTACCACCCTTGAAAAACACTGGCTTAGAACATCTCATAGGCTGTTGTTTATATTCTAAACCCAATGTGTTTTCTTTAATGTTACTTTCAGACCATCAAGATAGCATATTTTCTGATCAAGCCCCAGATGACGAAAAAGATGCAGTGCTGTCAGACGGTAAGTACTGGGGCTGTGGACAATCTTTGTGGTGCTCATATTCACGGCTCATATCAGCCAGTCTTAGATGTGGTGGTCAGAAGAACATGCCCAAAAAAMCAGAACAATTTTTGAAAAGCTCTCTGTTACTTTTCTTACACTTCATAAACACTTTGAATGGGGGGATAAAAATGTCAATAATTATGTTTAAGACTGAAACTGTTTCCATTTCAGACTCACTTCAGATTCTCCCAAAATACTCCAACCTCAGCTCTGGCCCCTTGTGTCTTGTCCTTCTCACATTTCCTTTTTCTACTTAATTCTTCTTTACAAAGCTGAAATAGCCAATATGGCTAGACAGGATCGTTCTCGGAAAGTGGGTCAGAGGAACAGACTGAGAAAGCCAAGTTAGAATTCTCCTAAGAAAGGAAATCTGGYGATTGCCCACCTGCTTTCTCTGTCWTATAAATGTCTATATCACATATATAACTTGCAAATATTTATGCAGAGGATCACATATTTTCTGAATCTTCCTATACAAATCACATGTCAAAATAATAATAATAATCTAGTCTGCTTCCATTTTTACTACTTCTTTACCTCTTTGAATATAAAGAAGCTGGCAAGCACTGAGATGTTCCCCAGTGATTTCTGTTGTGAGGCCATGGCTTCACAGGAAGTTGCTAAAAGCTGCTATTTGGCTGGATTCAAGCCATAGTCTTAGATTGAGATTCCATAAAAAAAAAAAAAAAAAAAAAAAAAGTGTTCTAACATCATACAACTCCTCTCAGGGAAAGGCACTGAGAGAAACTTGAGTGAAAAGAACAATATAGGTGAAAATGAGAATAACTGCAAAACTCAATGTGCTTTAAATGCTAAAAACTATTTTGTTAGTTCTTTACTTACTACAGTAGAGTTTTTAGATTTGATTCCACAAACCATCTCTGAAAGTCAGAATCAAGAACCCATAAATGGTTGGTGGGTWGACAAAACATTAGTGAATATTTTCTTATTCTACAAACAGAACTGGGCAGTAGAAAATCCAGTTTTCTTGTTATGCAGTTCTTTTTAAATTCTTCCTGCTCCCACATCCCCAGGCACTCAGCCTGACTTGCCCACTCTTCTGGAACCTAGCTTCCCTCCTTTATAACCAAAGCTATAACTGCAAGATCCCTAATCCTTCCCTCAGAATGAATGACTGAATAAGGAAGAAAACAGACCAGATATATCTGCAAGTCCAGTTTCCAAAGTAAGTTACTGAGTTCTCCTGGTATCTTATGAAAACAAGGCAGACAGATTTCTTTGTAGTTGACCAATCAGGATGTTCACCCAAGTCTCCACACTTATTCAAATGTCCAATAAGATGGACACAATCTAGTGCACCTTTTATTCTGATGGGCTTTGGAATGGAGTTAAGCACAGAGAATTAGAATTGGTCTATTCAGGAGAAGCAGAACCTAGAGATGAAATGGAGCTGAGAATATATCTGCATACATAATTCACAATGAGAAACAAAGGAGCCAAAAGAGACTGCACATGGAAATGGCGTAAGGTCAGGAGAGAGGCCAGAATTCATTTTGATATATATGAAAATATATTTTGAAAAAAATATATGAAAATATCTAATGATGAGCTTCTGGTTTTATTTCTCCATAGAATCTACCTGACACAWGGACTCCCTTGGCCATTGAATCAGATTGAATACAGTAATCCAGTAAATAGAATGAAGAGAGGAAAAAATGAAAAACTAATAAAAACCATAGYCTACTTGATGTATTTTTTAAATTGTTACATCTTTTGTTTTTCTTTCTTGTACATACTCCAAAGGCAAAGCTGCAGAACTATAACAGATTCAATTAGACCAAAATGAAGTTATTTGGTACTTCAACAAATATAAAAAGACCTGTGAATGTCAGTATTTAAGAAAGAATAACTTTGAAGAATTTATTTCAGTCTTAGATAATATTATTCTAGGCAATTAAATAAAACTGATAGAACAAAATGTCAAGAGTTCAATCATTTTGTGGTACCTGTATCCGTTACTATGTTTATTATTGCATTTTCTCAAATAGTTTGGTGTCAAATATTATTTTCTTAAATAACATTTAAACAGTTGTCAATCATTGCATCTTTGCTTGTATATCYTCCTGAGAGAATCAAGGAGACCACTTATTTATTAACTTGATCTTTCTTTTCTAAAAAAATACTTGAACTGAGACAAATGAATGAGTAAGTTTGTGTCTGAGTGAACCAAAAAAGACCACAAAATTCTACCTATGAGATCTTCAGGGCTGGTCAGGTTTGGTACCTCCAAACCTGGCTATGTGCTGTGCTCTCTGGGATTTGCTTGAGATGAGTGTCTTTGCAACAAATTGTATTTTTGTCTTTAACTTCAATTGAATAGGTTTTTATTTTTGACACCAGATATGGCTTTGATAAGCTGAATTTTGAAGGAAAAGCATAGACTTTGACTATAAAATTGCATGCTTGAAATAAAAAAATTGTCATTAAAAATTTCTAACAGGGCTGGGGATGTGGCTCAAGCGGTAGCGCGCTCACCTGGCATGCGTGCAGCCCGGGTTCGATCCTCAGCTCCACATACAAACAAAGATGTTGTGTCCACTGAAAAACTAAAAAAATAAATATTAAGAATTCTCTCTCTCTCTCCCCCTCTCTCTCTCTCCCTCTCTTTAAAAAAAAAATTCTAACAAATGCCAGGTAGAAACTTTTGAAAGTCCAGGACTCTTATTATAAAAGACTGAAGTTGTCTGTGCTTTTCCTATACTTTTGAACAGCTCTTAAGGTCCAGATTGCTTCCTGAAAATCAGGAGACGTTCACATGCCTCTATATTGTTTCTATACCAGCATATAGTGAAATGGATAATTTCAAAACTATGACTGATTTTTGCTTGTCTTTAAGGTTAGCATTTGATTTGATGTTATTGTGAAGAAAACTTTAATGTCTGTGTTAAGGACATCAGTCTGTGCCCTAATCTACTGTCACTTCCCCTGCCTTTCTTTGTGGACTCCTTAGCCAAAGTAGTGTGGCCGCAAAGAACAATAATTGGATGAATTCTCTACACATAGCTGCAGAACTTTTTCATGGTAAAAGTGAGCTAGGTTAAAAAATGTGATTCAGACCAAGAAGCCAAAGAAAAGCTTCCTGTTCCATTTTCTTTGAACCAGTTATGTGAATCACAGAGCACTCAGGACAAGGTGGAAAAACTGAAACAGAATATAACCATGAACACACATTACCTCTCACCACAGTGGCCCTGCTACTTAGAGACATTTTTCCCAATAGTTGTTAAGTTCGAACCAATAAGATAATGTTTTTTTCTGCAATTGATGGATATCAAACTAGAGAGAGACAGACAATTTTGTCCTCTTGCAACACATTCATTCCAATCCTCAGCATGCTGTACTTTCCAGCATAAATATGAACTATTATATAGCATGCGCTAGGAGAGACTCCCATATGAAAATGGAACAACTTGACCTTAATCACTACATCTGCTACAACACCCTTGTCCCAAATCAATATAAAATATTACTCTGGGAGAAGAGTATTCATGTTTGTTATTTATTTTAAAATAATGACAGTGCCATCTCAAAAATAATTTTCAGGGAGATTTTAGTTTTTTGACTCTTGCACTRATTCTCAGAGTAGTCTGTTACCAATTTGGGAAACATCTGGTTTCTCCACTAGAAATAACTTAAGTGTGAGATTATTTTTAAAAATTCTGTTATTAAAATTGACATGGTACAGGCATGAGGGAGGGATATTTGGTAGAAAAATTAGTGCATGATTTGGGGAAAGGTGGTGTGTGTAAAACAATTATTGGTCACTGAAAAATGAGTTAAGTGTATATAAATCCTTGTGACTTTAGCAGTTATCAGTTGCTCCTCCCACATCCCTGCCCTATCATCTTAACTAAAGAACTCTGATTTTTGTTGGGATGAGCCTAATACTAGGGAATAAATATTGATACATCTAATTTAGTCCCTATTTGACAGTGATTGGTCTAGGGACAGGCATGTTATCCAGTTTTGGACAATGACACATAAAGAGAAGTCTTTTGAAGATCTGTATGCAAGATATAGGTCCTTCCTGCTTCCTTCCTTCCTGCTTAAAATGATATCCTACTGTATTAGAGGTTTTATTTTTTATTTATTTATTTTTTTTTACTCCTGTGAACAATTTTAGAAGAAGAAAAGTTTATTTGGAATCTCATGGATTCAGAGGTCTTAGTTCCATAGGCAGCAGGCTCCATTCCTTGGGGCTTGAGGTGAGGCAGAACATCATGGCAGAAGAGTATGGTGGAAGGAAGTGGCTTCAGACCTGGCCACGGGAAGCAGAGAGAGACTTCAAAATATGCAAAATTTATGTCCCAAAGGCATGTCCCCAGGCCCACCTCCTTCAGCCGCACCCTACCAGTTCTCAGTTACCACTCAATCAATCCCTACTGGAATTAATTCACTGATTACATCAAAGCTCTCATAACCCAAACATTTCACCTTTAAACTCTGATGCATTATCTCACACTTGAGCTTTTAGGGGACACCTAATATATAAACCATAACAATCCAAGTTGGACAAATGATATGTGCAAAGGCAAGGAAGCAGCAAATCTGAATCTTATAAAATTGAGCATGGACTACAGTGGATGGTATTAAAACCCTAAAAGAATTTACTGGTATGTTTCGAGAAGAATTCTGTGGTCAGAAAGTGAAATCCAGACTACAATATCTGGGGTGAAATTAAGGATAAAATTAGTTAGGGAGTGGTTGATTTAGAGGGTGACTGCCTACAGCCTAGGGCAGTGGTTGCCAAAGTATGATCCCCAGAACAGCAGCAGCATTATCTCCTGACAACATGTTAAAAATGCAAATTCTCAGCCCCCCCTAAACCTGCTGAATTGCAAGCCCTAGGTATCATAAACTCAGCTATCTGTCTTAACAGTTGGTTCTGATTTATTCGGTCCTACTGGTCTAGGAGTGAAGTAGGTTGATGGCAGCAGATATTCTGGCTAGAATTGGGGAGAATATTAAAAATATGAGTTAATGCAGGTTAATCCAATCAGTGAATTAATCCAGATAGGGATTAACTGAATGGTAATGAAAAGCAGGTTAAGATGTGGCTGGAGGAGGTGGGTCATTGGGGACGTGCCTTTGGGGCTTATATTTTATCTCTGGCAAGTGGAGTGTCTCTCTGCTTCCCAGCACCATGTTCCCACTTGCCTTCCTCCACCACTCTCTTCGTGTGTTGTTCTGCCTCACCTCAGGCCCTAAGGAATGGAGTCAGCCATCTCTGGACTGAGACCTCTGAAGCATGTGAGCCCCCAAATAAAATAAGTCCTTTGGTCACAGCAGTGAAAAAGCTGACTAAAACAGAGTGTCCCAAAATCTATG